ATGAGTTTCATTATTAAATTTTCATACATATATATCTTATTCATCTCTCTACCCAACTACTTTCCCTTACCCCATCTGGCCCTTCTTCCTGGTCTCCACCTCCCCCTAGCTTGTCACTCTTCTTGTTTCCATGTCACATGTATTCCACTACCTATCATCTATCTATCTATCTATCTATCTATCTATCTATCTATCTATCTATCTATCTATCTATCATCCATCCATCAATCATCTATCTATCTATCTATCCATCTACCCACCCCCCTCTCTCTCTTTTGGTGCCTCCATCTCTAAGATTGCTCCTTCTCCTCAAAGTCCTCTACTTTTATGAACACACACACACACACACACACACACACACACACACACACACACAAATTCAAACCCAGAGTCTGCACATGAGCAAACACATGCAGTATTTGAAATTCTGGCTTATTTCATTTGAATGATCTCTGTTTGTATCCATTTCCTAAAACTACCATGGCTTCCTTTTCTTTATGTTTGAATGTGTTGGCAATTCTTCTAAGCTCCTCCCCACAGTTACATGGCAACATCTAGGTAGGCCTGGCTTGCTACAAAAGGGGCTTTTGGCCCCTCATTGCTCTCTCTGCCTCTTCTCTCTGACTCCTTCACTCTCCCTAACCCCTTTCTCCCTATCCCTTTCCCCTGGTGCTCTCGCTCTCGCTCTCACTCTCGCTCTCCCTCTTCCTCTCCCTCTCCCTCTCTCTATCTTTCTACTCCCTTCTCATGCCCTAAATAAACTCTATTCTATACTCAACCTGTCCTATGGCTGGTACCTCAAGGGGAAGGGATGCCTCAGCATGGTCCTGCTCTATAAAGTATATCCTTGGGTTTTTAGAAAAGCACAACAAAAGTACAACAATCTGCACACATGAACCACATTTTCGTTATCTATGTGACAGGTGATGGACATCTAGGCTGGTTCCATTTGTTATTGCAACAATAAACATGAATGTGAGTGGCTTGAGAGATGGCTCAGTGGCTCAGGAGCTCTTTCAGAGGCTCTAAGTTCAGCTCCCAGCAGCCATGTCAGGGGATTCACATCTGTCTGTAACTCCAACTCCAAGAGACCTGATGCCCTCTCTGGACTGTGAGGGTACCTGCATACAACACACACACACACACACACACACACACACAAATTTTGTTAGTGTAATAAAAACAAATTGTTAACCAAATACACAAGAGAAAGACATGAAGTGCAAGTCCCTCAGTACCTCTATGGTATATTGACTTCGAGTCCTGCAGCTAAAACCCAAGAGCGGTACAGCTGGGCCAGGGTTCTTTTTTCAATTTTCTGAAGAACCTCCATGCTGACTGCCACAGTGGCACTAGTTATTTCCAGTACCAGGCCTGGCATGGAGTTGAAGCAGCAGGGATGGCTGGGTGACCCCAGGGAGGCTCCCAAGGAGAAGTGGATGAGAAGGGTGACCATCAAACAGAAGAGCTCCATGGCCTCAGGCAGGGCAAAGCCCAAAATGGAATAGATGTCATTTGAGAGATGGGGTCCCTGTGTAGCCAATATAAAGCTGTCAAATACTGTTCAATGCAGGTTGGTCCCTGGTCCAGCCACACCAATGATGGTGCCAGCAAAAATAAACCTGGCTGCTGTGTCAGTGTCCTGGGAGACAACTCTGGTCTGAATGCCCATCTGGTCACCTGGAGGGGATCTGCTGTAGGAGAGTGTTTAGATGGTCTTCTCAGGAGGGAGGCAGACACAGGCCTGATCAGACCCCCACTACAAGAGCAAATCACAACTGGAGAAGAGCAGGGCCTTGGTGCCCTGCAACTTTTCCATCTCCCGGCTTTAGCCATTGGTCTCCAGGAATGAAACATTTGGGCTGATCAATCGTCCCTTTAGGAACACGACTGTTTACTTTATGCCACTGTCTGATGGAAGGATATAACTTATTTTTTATACAAGCTCACAGCTAAGTGACCATAATTTTAAAGTGTGGAATTGTTGAAAACTATGAGGACTTTAAAGCTGGACTCGGTGCACTTGATGTTATAACACGGTCATGAGACTGTGTGGACAAGAAGAGGAAGGTTATGGCCTAAAGGTGACGTTTGGGTGTCTAGTTGACAGAGGTGGAACTGTGAGCATTAACTGTGAACTTGTCAGGATCTAAAACCACCCAGGAGATGGCCCTCTGAGGGTGTATGTGGAAGATTTTGTTGATTACAGGTAACTGAAGGGGAAAGACCTCTGTGGGTGACACCACTCCCTGGCTGGGATTATAGATTTTATAAATGGAAATGGGGGAACTGAACAGCAGCCTGTGTGTCTCTCCCCACCCTGCTTCTTGAACATGAATGTGCTATAGCTGCCTTGACTCCTCTGCTGTGTGTTTCCTGTTAGATCCCCCAATTCTGGCAGTTAGACAAAGGCCAGTATTCCTCAGCAACTTGTGAAGCAGGTTTCCCTTAACCAAAAGGAGCCATTTCCCTTATCGGCTGTCAGAAGAGACAAATGGCTGTCAGTGGTAGCTATTAGGATATCAAAGTGCATGCTGGGCTCCAGGTTCCTTCAGTATCACAAGGACCTGTTACACATTTCAAAGTCCACTCTGACACCCCAGCCTTCTCACCTCCTCCCCTGAACTTCTCAACTCCCAGACTTCCCTGTCCCAGCTTCTCACTCTCCTTATAACCCCACTGTATCAGCTATGCTCTCTTCTGCCGGAACTGTCTTCATTTCACGTTCTCCCCCTCTTCTCCCTTTCTCTCTGCCCTGCTCCTCCTTCTCTCCTCACCAGGCCCAGTCTGCAAGCCACATTCAGTCTACCACTTTCCCTCTGCTCTGGCCTCTTCCAGATGTTCTGTCCTTCATATCTTCAGTAAAAACCTTAACTGTACCATGGAGCAGTCATGTCATCAGTTTGATACTTTACCTTGACCTGTGAGCCAGAAGAAACCCCTTTCTCCTTAAGTTGCCTTTATCAGAGTATTTTATCACAACAAATAAGAAAGAAACTAAGACATTTGTCATTTTATTTCTTCATATTTCCAAGTCTTAAAGAAGTATGGTATCAGCTGATTTTACTAACCCTGGCAGTTTTCCAAAGATATATGTATTATATTTGTATTGTCTATCTGAAATTATAATCACTTTGAGAAACATTTCTGTTTTGTTGGAGGTTTTTTATTTACTATGCTAACTCATGTACATGTTGGAGAAACACTGAATACTCTTATAATAATCCCAATGTAAACAACTTAGTGTAAACTTACGTAATACTCTTAATAATTAATTTTAAGTCTACAGATAGGCTTGGTTTCTATGTAAAACCTAATCAATAGAACGCGACTAAGATAAAGTGTTCAGGAAGAGACAATATTTAATGTTTCAGGAAAAGATAATTAATAGCTTTTTTTTTCATTAATAAGCGCAGAAGGACTTAACCACAGACACAAAAATAAATAAGGAAAAACTTCCAAACAGACAAAAATATAATTCTCAAATGCTGAGGCTGAGAGTTGCATTAGAATTTGATGTGATGAAGTTTGAGTTGTAGGGAAAAGGTAGAGCTAAGTCTCACATACATCCAAATAATCCACACACCAAAGGGAAAAACAAGATAAATTTTCTTTAGATAACTCTATATCTGCCAGAAGAACAAGTAGGTCTAAGAAGACATCTTCAAAAAGAACTCCATTTATATCTCCAGAAAGTAATAAGCCACCAAACTCTAAGAAGTGGTTTCTGCATTCATGGATTGAACACAGGACCTTCTACACTTTTTTAGAGGCTTTGTTTTTGTTTTTTTTTTGTTTTATTTTGTTTTTTGTTGTTTTTTTAAAAGGTTTTTATTTATTTATTACATGTATGTACAGTGTAGCTGTCTTCAAACATCCCATAAGAGGGCATCAGATCTCATTGTGGATGGTTGTGAGTCACCATGTGGTTGCTGGGATTTAAACTCATGACCTCTGGAAGAGCAGTCGGTGCTCTTAACCACTGAACCATCTCACCAGCCCCTTGTTGTTGTTTTTGTTTTGTTTCGTTTTTCGAGACAGGGTTTCTCTGTGTAGCTCTGGGTGTCCTGGAACTCACTCTGTAGACCAGGCTGGCCTCGAACTCAGAAATCCGCCTGCCTCTGCCTCCCAAGTGCTGGGATTAAAGGCATGCACCACCACTGCCCAGCTTTAGAGGCTTTATTAACTGGCCTCTTCTAACTTTTTATTCTAAGACAGGGACTTTTAAAGTTGCCCAGGCTGACTAGAGCTTTGTATACTCCTGCCTCAGTCATCCAAGTACCTGGGATCACAGGTCAGCACCATCAAACCCAGCCAAACCGCCTTCTTGAGATTGCCACATCTCTAGATTTATGTAAGACACGAGAACTAGGTCCAGAGGCATGCAGCTAGTCTCGGCTTACCTGGAGCGCTCTGAGGTGGGAACATTACTTGGGAAGCTAGAGGCCAGGCTGAGTAACACAATGAGACACACAGATCCATTGACACAGAGGTTCCAACATGGCCATATAGGAAAACAGGGTATCAATACCAGCCTGGAAAATCAGGAAAGTCACATTCCAGTTTGGGTTGGGCCTCATTTAGTCACTCTGGCAAGACACCTTCTCAAGGGCTTCATGTCCTCATAAGCCTCAAGCTCTACCATGGGGACTGTGAGGTACCCAGGTTGCTGTTTCAGAAACAAACATTTACAGTTCAAGTATAGCCTCCTAATTTATTTTAAGTCAAAATAACCAGACCAGCATCATAAAGGCTAACATTTCATTATTGAACCTAGAAAAAAATACAATATTAAAGTTAAAATCAAAAGAGCCTTTGACAGAGTTCTTTTAAGTGTGTTTGGATGTCAATAACTCACAATTTGTCAATATGTCACAAATTTCAATGGTCAAAATGACCCTGAGTCTTCTCAGGGCACATAGTAATCCTTTCTCCATTCACATTTACATCATACACATTACACTATTTTATATTAAAAAAGTGCCGGATATAAGTATAGCTTAACTTAGTTTCCTTCTTAACTTGTTTTTTATAGCAGACATATTAATTTCATTTTGAACATGATATGCCAAATATCCTGAGCTTCCAGGAATGAAGTCATGTAATTCTCCAAGGAATTTCTCCAAGGTATCAATTGATACATAACCTATAAAAATAAGAAAAAATAGATACATCTGAAATCCTGCCATGATATTTGGTTTTCAGTGTCTTTGATTTATTAGTTTAAAATTTTATAGATTTTTTTAAAGAAAAGAATGAAGAAGAAGGAGGAGGAGGAGGAGGAGGAGGAGGAGGAGGAGGAGGAGGAGGAGAAGAAGAAATAATAATGCTATTGAGAAGACTTTCCAAGAACAACCTTAAATCCTTAACTCCCTGCTTCTGCCTGCAGTACTGATATGACTACCATGTCCCAGCACTGGAGGCCAGGCCCAGGGCTTTCTACATGCTAGGCAGGCACTCTGCCAGCTGAGTTACAGCTCTAGCCCTTAACACATTTTCTTTTTCTTCCTTAGTTTACAAAATAATGAGTTTTATCATAACCTTTTTATGCAAATATATCATTGTATTTTGGTCATATTTGTCTCTTCTCTTCTCTTCCACCCATCTTCCCTCTGACAGGTTTCACACTTTAACCTAGCTAGACTGGAACTCACTTGCAGCCCAGACTGGCCTTGAGCTTTCAGCAATCCTCTGCTCCAGCCTCCTAAGTTCTGGGAAACAACACACTTAACTTTTTCTTCTCCCTTTGAAAGGCACAGCTACTAGAAAAGCAACTGAGATTGCTGAGAGTGTAGTGTCTGTATTGGAGCTGGAACATTTAGTACTTAAACCACAATGACTGGCAATAACTGGGGTAGACTGTGACCACTGAGAGATCTCTCCAGCTTCCTAACAGCACAGCAGTCACAGAGCAGACAATTCCAAGCACTGTACAACTGGGGTGATGCTCTTTAGTGAAAAATTAATAGTAAAGTCAGTACTGCTGGTAGTCAATAAAAGTTATGTGTGTAATGCTGATGTCATTAATAATCTGAAAGACACATGAATGCCAAAAAAGAAACCCTACCTAAATGCAGAGAGCTTAAGGAAGGATTTAAATACCTTAAACAGTAATGCCATAATAATTACCACTTAAGGCCCAGCAGTGGTGGCCCACACCTTTAATCCCAGCACTTGGGCGGCAGAGGCAGGCGGATTTCTGCGTTCGAGAGTTCGAGGCCAGCCTGTTCTACAGAGTGAGTTCCAGGACAGCCAGGGCTACACAGAGAAACCCTGTCTTGAAAAACCAAACCAAAAAAAAAAAATAATAATAATAATAATAATAATTACCACTTAAATGATTGTATTTTACACATAATACAAATGTTTGTGGTTTATACTAATACTAACAATAAACACTGTACATAAAAATTTTTAGAAGATCACAAGTATGCCTGAATTTAAAATTACCATCAATAGCAACAGAATTTATGCATATAGCTTGTAAACAGTCTATTTAGAGTTTAAAATTATGAGTCCAGTCATAGAGACTAGTATCTTTGATCTATTTCAGTCACGGGCACCTACTTCATTAGCTCTTGTGAAGCACGTCTATAATATCCCATGTGTACCCATGATCTCTGCCTGATGGGGAGAGATGTGTGACCTGTGAAGAAAAGCTCACTGCACAGACAATACCCAAGGTTTCTAAACGTGTAGTGCACACATGCACAATCTGAGGTTTCTAAATGCTTCCTGTACACACATGTAGAGGGCACCAGGGCCTTGTACTCACAGAGAAGCACTAAGTGAACCAGGGATGTTGACACACAGGAGTGTCTCCTCAGTGGAGGAGAGAAAATCAAATCCCTGCATTCCAGCCAGAAAACTAAAAGTGGAGGTTGCTAATGACCTGGTGACCCTTTTGTTATCTGAAGGGCCAGACCTCATCCAAATTCTTCAGAATGATTATTCCAGATTCCCGCCTCCCTAGACCACTACCTATCCTTAGGGTAGATGTCACATGTACTTTATGGCCTGATGACCTCTATGCTATCTGTCAGAGACCACAATAGAGTCTAGGCCTTTTAGCTGTAGAGCCCACCCTCATAGTCACATGAACTTTGATAAAGAGCTGCTATGTAATCACATCTTAAGCCTTATTGTGCATCTGGAATTGGAATTATGGGAATTGTTGTTGCCTGGAGATCCTTTTCCAAATTTTACAATAATCTGCCTGCTATTCGACTCCCCGGCGTCTGATCTAGGTTGATGAAGTCAATCGGCACTGGGTTTTCCTTTTCATCTCTTCCAGGGGCTGGCTTCCCTCCCTGGATAACCTGGTCCCTGAACTGCTCTGGAGCCTTCACATGCTGTTGTCTGTTTGTCTCTCTATGACAATAACTATTCTAATAAAACCGCACTCTCCTGTAATCCATCTAGCATGTCTCCTGCACCACCCCAAGCAGAAACCTTTTGTTAGAAGAATTATTAACACCATCAACAGGACACACACAGCAGCATGGTGGGGGCTCTGAGCAGAGTTCAAGCCTCTAAGGTAGGGGTCCCTTCTTTGAGGTCTCATAGGAAAGAGGAGGCTTCTTGTTATGTGGTTGGTGAGCAGTCACAGAAAGGACCCAGCTGATTCTGGCTCTATAGGAAAGCCTGATCCTAGACATGTACAAGGCCTAGGTTCAAACTCTAGTACTACAAACCCAAAACAAAAGGACTGATGCCTGAATAAATTGCAACTGTCTCATACAAGCAGGAGCAAGCCCCCTCCTACCCAGAGACCCCCGTGTGGGAACAGAAACCATGAAGCTCATGCTTGGTCGATTCTGCTGGGCACTGCCTGAGCAGATGAATGGCACCTCTTCTATCACCGTGGTACAAGAGGCTCTGCTCGGGAAAGCTTTGTTCTACTCAGTCCCCTTGTTTCTTCCCTAGCTGAGGTTACTCTAGTCATTACTTCAGTTTACCTGTTACCATGTTGTTCACGGGGTAATTCTGAAGAGGGAAGCACATCTGCTTTTCTATAACTGGAGTCCTTACGAAATGATTCTCAGCACTACACAAATGAAGCATTGAGAAAGTCACATTTATATTTGATTTTTAAGTTTATATTACAAATGAGAACTTATTCCAGACAATGTATATAATAACTGATACTTATTTAATCAAGTTTTATTCTTACTTGGTAAAAAAAATGTTAATTGGGAGCTTTCTTTTGTGATACTAAGAAAGACTAGGGCCCATATAGCTATTTCTGGTTTTCTTAGCTACTTCACAAATTAAACAACTGAATATACAGAGGTCTGGGTCATCTCAATAACCCCCAAAGCACAATAATAATTTATAATAGGACTAGGAATATATCTCAGTAGTAGGGCTTTTGCCTAGCATGCATGAGTCTGGGTTTAATCCCAGCACTGTAAGAAATGTAAAATAACTTATTATATACAGACATAAGCAATATACATATGTAAAAGCACAGTGTACTCTATAAATGGTCACAGGACTTACATTCTTCAATACTCAAATTATTGAGACTACTAACTAGCCCAGTACTCCATATGTCAGCATAACAAATAAAAAAACAAGGCTGGGGAAACCATGAAGAACAGTGAGATTTTGAAGTAACTTCTGACTTAAATAAATAAGGTTTGCCTTAGATCATGGGCCTGCCTGCATACTTAAGACAAGATAGCAGCTCAGAAGAAATCAGACCACATTTCCCCTACCATCTGTCCTCTGAGGTAAAGAACTGACAAGCTCTGCACTGTGACACAAGCCCAGACTGCTCTCCTTTACTGTAACAAATAAGATGGAGCACAGAACAAACAGCTCCCATGTCTACCCTGAAACTGGCTCCAAGCTATGGCTCCCCCACACCTTCAAGTAAAGGATTTCCTGGGCTCTTTCTCTGTCTCTCGTTCATTCTCCTCTGTCATATGTTAGTGACAACCAGTTCTTACTTACGTGAAGCTCCTCCCAGGTTTAAAGGAATCTTGTCCTTTAAGGTCCTGTTATGTTGTCTCTGATACCATGCTCTAACCTCCTCCATTGCTCTCCTACCTCAAGTCCCCCTCATGCTGCCTCTGGTGTGATTGATGCTCTGTCCTGTAATGCTTTCCCAGCTCGAGCTGACCACACCCCATCATGGTTGTGAGGCTCTCCCTCCTAAGAAAGCTCACTGCTGCAGGGTGATTTCCAGTTTACTCCTTTTCTGAATTTATAGCTTTGGTTTCTAACAGTCAATCCTAACACTAAGGTATAACATTAAATAAGGTTTTCATTCTTATAGGAAACTATTGATAGAATATTAAATGCAAAGCCAAGAAACTTCAAGATGACCTCAGCTCTACAAATTGTGTGTCTTATTCTAAGACAGGAGAGACATAAGCTAAATGAGTAGAATTAGTCCTGATTTAAATTTCCTTTATTCTTTTGTTTTGTTTTGTTTTTGTTTTTGTTTTTGTTTTATAAAGATTTATTTATTTTATGTATGTGAATACATTGTTGCTCTCTTTAGACACACCAGAAGAGGGCATCAGATCCCATTATAGTTGGTTGTGAGCCACCATGTAGTTGTTGGGAATTGAACTCAGGACCTCTGCAAGAACAGTCAGTGCTCTTAACCACTGAGCCATCTCTCCAGCCCCTTGTTTTTGTTTTTTATGACAGGGTTTCTCTGTGTAGCTCTGGCTGTCCTGGAACTCACTCTGTAGACCAGGCTGGCCTTGAACTCAGAAATCTGCCTGCCTCTGCCTCCCAAGTGCTGGGATTAAAGGCGTGCACCACCACTGCCCAGCTTCCTTTATTCTTTTTTATATGTCTTATTTTCATGAATTCAATGAATTTATATATATATATATTTTTTAAGTTTTAGCATTTTTGAAATAGGGACTCATAAAGCCCAGGTTAGCCTCAAACTAGCTACGTAGCTGAGGATAACCTTGACCTTTTAGTCCCACCTTCATCTCCAGGGTGCTGATTACAGGTATGCACTGTAGGCCTGGTTTATTCGGTGCTGGAGATCAGACCCAAAGCCCATGCACACTAGATAATCCCTCTAACAACTCAACTTCATCCTCAGCCTGTTACATTTATTTTAAAATAGTTTAAAAGTATAAAATTTTAAATGTATGTGACTTTAAACTTTGAGGAACATCTGGGGAGAGGAAGATAGCACAGTTTGGACTCCAGATCTAGATATGGTTTCAAATTCAGCTATTCTTTCTGAATAAAACTGAATGAATTATTTAGCTTTCCAGATTTGTATTCTGTTTTTTTGTTTTGTTTTGTTTTTTGTTTTTTTGAGACAGGGTTTCTCTGTGTAGCCCGGGCTGTCCTGGAACTCACTCTGTAGACCAGGCTGGCCTCAAACTCAGAAATCTGTCTGTCTCTACCTCCCAAGTGCTGGGATTAAAGGCATGCACCACCACCGCCCAGCCTTGTATTCTCAATTGTAAAATGAACGGGCTCATTGCATATATAAGCTGTGAGAATCAAATGAAATATTGTGAACTGGCAGGCACAGTAGTGCACACCTTTAATCCCAGCATTTGGGAGGCAGAGGCAGGTGAACCTCTGAGTTCAAGGCCAACCTGGTATACAAAGCAAGTCTAGGATAGCAAGGGCTCTCTCTGTTACAGGAAAAAAAAAAAAAAAGAAAAAGAAAACAGGAAAAGAAATATTGTGAACTGCTATCTCACAAATGTCTTCTGCTTAGCAAATGTTCAATAATAACATACCATTTAGTATGTGCTTCCTATCAGTAAGTAGTTCGTCATGCAGCTAGCTCAGGATATATTCTTTTTTTTTTTTTTGGTTTTTTGAGACAGGGTTTCTCTGTGTAGCCCTGGCTACTATCCTGGAACTCACTCGGTAGACCAGGCTGGCCTCAGCTCAGAAATCGGCCTGCCTCTGCCCCCAAGTGCTGGGATTAAAGGCATGAGCCACCACCGCCCGGCTTCTCAGGATATATTCTATTTATGTTCATATTGCACCACCTGGTGGCTCCATAAAGAAAAGGCCCTACAGAGGCAGTGGAGGTCTGCAGCACTACAGGATAGGGCTGCTGAACACACAAATTCACAGTGACTATCTCCACATGTACAGGACTTTCACAAGCTCAAGTCAGCCAAAATCCAAGATGAGCAGGGGAGGGGCTCATGGAGCCCCAGGCCTAGCTGAGAAGCTGTTGCCATGGATAGCTGCTACAAGAGGGAGGATTTGGCCAGGGATGCAGCCCCTGAAAGGCTGCCAGTGCTCCAGTAGATGGTCCTATACCCATGTATACTAGCAGACCCAGCGGGATTTTAAAAAGAGAGAAGCACCAGGTGTAGTGTGCATACCTGTACTCCCAGTACTGAGAAGGCTGAGGCAGGAGGAGAATCTCTGTCAGTTTGAAGCCAACCTGGTCTCCATAGTAAGTTCCAGGACAGCCAAGACTATAATGAGAGACTACATGAAATTGGGAGGGGGATTAAGGAACCAGAGTTAAGGGAAGAATTTTAAAAATGTATAATATGCACTCTGAGATTCCTAATTTAAAAAAAGAAAATTGAAAAATAAAAAGCAGAATCCTAGAGTATATATTCACATAATTGAACTTAAAAAACAAACAAACAAACACACAAACAAACCTCAACAGTGTCTTCCTGCATAGCCTAAGTAGCCTAGGCTAGCCTGGTGCTCATTTTAATCCCTCTAATGACAAGATTACAGCTAAAATGTACCATACCTGGCATGTTGTCATGTATGATGTGTGTTTGTGTGTTACTGTGTGCACACATGTAAGCATGCATGTGGAGGCTAGAAGCTGATCGACATTTTACATGACTCATCAATATTTCATCATCACTTTCTTTTTAATTATTATTTATTTTTATTTTATGTGCATGAGTACTTTGCATGTATGTATGTATGCACACCACATGTGTGCCTGAAACTCTCGGAGGTCAGAGAAGGTGTCAGATCCCCTGAAACTGGAGTAACTGATGGTTGAGCCACCATGTGGGTGCTGGAACCAAACCCAGGTCGTCTGTAAGAACAGCCAGTTCTCTTAACCACTGAAGCCTCACTTCTTTTCTTTTGTGTAAAAGTTTGTATGATAAACTTAATTTGTTGAACAAATTAATCTTAGATCTTTGTCTATACATGAGAATAGTGATAATGATAATGTCAATCTCAGAGGAACTGTGAAAGTAAGATAAATATACAATCAAGTGCAATGTTTTTACACTCAACCAGAACAACAATGACACATAGAAACCAATACCTTTTGGACAGTTCTTGTTTGTGTTCTGTTGTTGGTCCAATGTTTTCCTTTTCACTTGATGCCATTCTGTCATGCTGTACAAAAGAAATCACAGTTTAAAAATTTAGCATACGCCCGGCTGTGGTGGCGCACACCTTTAATCCCCCAGCACTTGGGAGGCAGAGGCAGGCGGATTTCTGAGTTCGAGGCCAGCCTGGTCTACAGAGTGAGTTCCAGGACAGCCAGGACTACACAGAGAAACCCTGTCTCGAAAAACCAAAAAATAAAAAATAAAAAAATAAAAAATTAGCATACTAATTATCTAATCAGTAATTTTTAAATTGATATACATTCCAAAATTATTTAAATGTATTGTTTTATTTCTAGTCATTGTAACATGGTAGGGAAGTTTATGAAATTTTGTATATATACTCATATAACTATCCTTTTAGAAGATCATAAAGGAAGATCGAATTTAAAGTGCCAGTAATAGTTGTAGCAGGCAACTGAACTTTAAGGGACAGGGAAGGAGAATATGGGAAGGAAGGAAGGAAGGAAGGAAGGAAGGAAGGAAGGAAGGGAGGGAGGGAGGGAGGGAGGGAGGGAGGGAGGGAGGGAGGGAAGGGAAGGGAAGGAAGGAAAAACCAATCAATACAAACTTAAGACTTTCTTTTTTTGTTTTTTGGTTTTTTTCAAGACAGGGTTTCTCTGTGTACTCCTGGCTGTCCTGGAACTCACTCTGTAGACCAGGCTGGCCTCGAACTTTCGAACTCAGAAATCCGCCTGCCCCTGCCTCCCAAGTGCTGGGATTAAAGGCATGCGCCACCACTGCCCAGCTAACTTAAGACTTTCTTAAACCTCTTGACATCAGGGTTTTCCTACTTCCTGTAAGCTACAAATCAAACACTATGAAGCTGAATGGAGTAATGGTGATGGAGATATGTTTGTCTCTAAGTTGTGACAGAACTAAAAGTATATTAAGCTTTTCCAAAACATTTGTAAAAATTACTAACATGCTTGTTCCTAATAGATTTAACAGAATGTCATTAGAAATTCGGTATTTAGATTATAAATCTTCCTTAAGCAATAATAATGTTCCAAACTTCTTTCCAGACTTATCTTGTTTTCATTTGATACTATGACTTTCTGCTTATATATTATGTGATTACAGTATTATAATAGCTAATATGCAATATTTATATACATTTTGAAGGAATGGACAAGATCCTTTATCAAATGGTAATGCCTAGCCAATAATCAATAAAAAGAATGTTATGCTGGGCAGTGATGCTGTATGCCTTTAATCCCAGCCCTCAGGAGGCAGAGACAGGTGGATCTCTGTGAGTTTGAGGCCAGACTGGTCTACAAAGTGAGTTCCAGGACAGCCAGGGCTACACAGGGAAACCCTGTCTCAAACAAACAAACAAACAAACAAACAAAACAAAAAAGATAGAGATGTTAGGGGCTGGAGAGATGGCTCAGCGGTTAAGAGCACTGACTGCTCTTCCAGAGGTCCTGAGTTCAAACCCCAGCAACCACATGGTGGCTCACAACCACCCATAATGAGATTGGATGCCCTCTTCTGGTGTGTCTGAAGACAGCTACAGTGTACTCATAATAAAATAAATAAATAAATCTTAAAAAAAAAAAGAGATGTTATATTAATATTTTATCTGTCTGCCTGTGTAAGTGTCACCTGTGTGCAAGAAATGCGACAGAGGCCAGAAATGCTCATTAGAACCCCCAAGCTAGAGCTGCAGGCAGTTGTGAGGTACCTGATATAGGCCCTGGGAGTTCAGTAGTAAACTCAACTCTGGACCTCTCAAAGAGCAGGAAGTAGTCTTCACCTCTAAGCTATCCCTCTGCTCTCATACTAACCTTTTAATAGAAAAGACATTAGATTAGCTTAAGGCTAAGAAAATTTGGTTCCATGGTACTAATATCTGGTTCCATGAACTAAGGTCTTTTTTTTTTTAAGCCTTCTGTTTGTGTCAGCATTTTTATTTACAAAATTAAATGACCTTTAGGTTCCTTTAAGTACAACAGTACTGGCATACTGAATAATTTGACAAATAAGAAAAAAATCCATCATCACTTATGTAGAAACATTAACAAATCAGAGAATAGATATTTTCACAACTTATCACCTCCATGCCAAAGATCCTGAAGAGACTATCCTTTTCAAATGATGACACTCTGGGAAGTAAAAACAAATTAGTGGGCCAGTGAGATAGCTCAGCAAGAATACTATCTGCTAACCCTGAGTTTGCTGTTCAGGAGCCCACGGGGTGAAGGGAGAGGACCAACTTCTTCAAGTTGTCTCTGACTTCCACGTGTATACTGTGGCATGTGCATGCATACAGACATTCAAATAAAATGTTAACTAATGAAAGATGAAATATATAAATTAATTGCCTGACTGTGGAAATATTGATTTCTCTCTATTGTTTCAGTCTGAAGAAATTTAACATACTGAGAAGTTTTAAAATAAAAAAATACTAGATAACTTACACCCAGAATTTGCTACTTTGAGTGTGTTCTTTTCAGTTTTGTGAGATCATTTAAAAATATAACTTTTTTTAATTTTGTTTTGTTTTTCTATTTTGGTTTTTCGAGACATGGTTTCTCTGTGTAGCCCTGGCTGTCCTGGAACTCTCTCTGTAGACCAAGCTGGCCTTGAACTCAGAAATCGCCTGCCTCTGCCTCCCAAGTGCTGGGATTAAAGGCGTGTACCACCACTGTCCAGCATAACATTTCTATAACTTAAGGTCTAGTATGAATTTTCTCAAAAATATATTCTCTTATCTTTATAACACTATTAGCATACTTAAGAAAATGTAACAAATCATTATTATTTAATATCAATTTTCCCAGCTATGTAGATCAGGGTGGACTTGAACTCTCAGAGATCAGCTTATTTCTGCCTCCCAGGTATTTCATATATATAAAGTCTGATCAAAGTTTATTTATTTGTATGTTTGTTTTTCTCAGCAGAGTTTTTGTGTAGTAGCCTTGGCTGTCCTGAAATTTGCTTTGTAGACCAGGTTGTCCTTGAACTCACAGAGATCTGTGGAATCCAGTCACTTCCTGGATTCATGGGATTAACTCATAATTGAATCTTGGTTAAGTATTTAAATAAGAATGCAACAAAGATAATATTGTATACTTATTATATCACAACAGACTAAGCATAATGAAAGATCATTCCAGCCGGGCAGTGGTGGCAGTGGTGGCGCACAACTTTAATCCCAGCACTTGGGAGGCAGAGGCAGGCCGATTTCTGAGTTTGAGGCCAGCCTGGTCTACAGAGTGAGTTACAGGACAGCCAGGGCTATACAGAGAAACCCTGTCTCGAAAAGCAAAAAGCAAAAAGCAAACAGCAAACAGCAAACAGCAAACAGCAAAAAGCAAAAAGCAAACAGCAAAAAGCAAAAAGCAAAAAGCAAAAAAAAAGCAAAAAGCAAAAAGCAAAAAGCAAAAAGCAAAAAGCAAAAA